TTGAACTTTACTCCATTTTATTCCAGCTTCCAGCTCGCCTCTGCAAATGTGATTCGCCGGGTCTATTTTGGGTGGCCACCTTTTCTTTTGCCTTGAGAATTCCAGAGTCGAGAGCTTGCTTGACAATGTGACTTGGATCCCTCCAGAGAGTTTAGACCACCCACTTCCACTTTCGGCGTTTACTTATATATTAAGTTACCATAAATTGCAAAAGATGTCATTTATTTCTCTATATTTTGATGCATATAAAATTGCTTAGGCTGATAGGAATATATATCAGGAATCAGGAATAAATAAATATATATTTATTATATTTATAAATCAGGAATAATATTTTCGTACGTGAGACGAGATGGGAGGCTTTACTAAGCACGATCCTTACGATAGTTCTGCCAAGTATACTCCAAGTATATAGTATCTCTAAACGATGATGTCAGCTGATGACTTCACGACCGCATTGACATACTATTTGTATAGTTTCTACAAGTTTCTTAAGTTCCAAATACGCCCCGAAGGCTTCTGCAGTTTTCTATACAGAAATCTTTCGTTACTTTAGGATTTTATATTGCTTCGAAAACACATAACATCAGAGATATCATAACTGTATACTACGTCATGATGATGTCAGTTTTCCTCTGTTTTGTGCCATTTAAAACCGATCTGATAGTAGGAATATAAATTCGAAAAATATTTTGTGCGGACTTAGGTTGTTTAAACGGATATATGTTATTAGTTTTTTAATATTACTAATAATAATGGTCTAGCTCAGTGTTTCCCAATGTGGGGCCCATGCCCCACAGAGAGCAATTTGTTTGTTAAGGGGGGAATTAGATTTTTTTTTAATTATTTGTAATTTCAGTTTTTCATTATATGTTTCACTTACTGTGTTTGGTTAACACTTTCCAAGTAGGTAATTTTTTCCTAAAACCTATCAATTAAGTTTCTTAAATTATTTTTTAGTAATTCAATTCGAGTTTGTCCCATGGGGGTCATAAAAATTTTAGGAAGGCTAAGGTGGGGCATGGCACGAAATAGGTTGGGAAACACTGGTCTAGCTGAAATGTTAGTAACATTTTATCAAGCCTATTTATAAAGCCTTTTCAAACTTCACGAAGATACAATAAATATTTGTAGTAATTAAATTGGTCGCATAATATCTATTGGTCTATTGGATTGTTTTTATATATTTTAAGTATTTTTGAAGATTTTGACTAATATAAAGGGTACATTTTCTTTTATCTCAAAGTATAATAGGAAATCGTTAACGATACATGATGATATTCCAAAACTTTGGGTATTAAGTGTAGATTTAACGGCAATTATTGGATTTTGCTAAACGCCGGATGGCTGAGGTCATCTGTCCACATTCCAACAAAACCAGCCGAGCCAACCTTCGGGTTTTTAAACTTTTACGCACTGGTTTTGTGTTAAAGCCTTAGAGAAATTAAGTTTTAAATTTTTGGCTTTATTATTAGTTATACTGTGTTGCTTCTAATTGAGTTATATTATTGAACAAATACTAAATCGTGGTTTATTATTATGATGCTACAAACTCAATACACTCATTACTTTAATAATAATAATAATTTATTGGCACGAATATGGTACAAAAATGTTATGGTGGTACAATCTAAAGTTCGCATATTACCGTGCAAATTTGTCTTAAAAGGTAGAATATAAGTTACAATTATATTAATAGTCATATCATTATAGTCAATTCTTATTTTATCAATACATAATCACATTATTAAAATATATTATTACGTTATCAAATTAATAATAATTATAATATTTCACGCAAATAATCATAAATAGAATAATCAATTTTTCCAAAAGTAGTACATTAAGTCGATTTTACACAATTATTGTATCGCTTGGGGTTGCAGAGGGCTTTTTTGAATAAATTTTAACTAAAATTATCACTTACCTGGAACAGTGTTGGCCTAGTGGCTTCAGCGTGCGACTCTCATCCCTGAGGTCGTAGGTTCGATCCCCGGCTGTGCACCTATGGACTTTCTTTCTTTGTGCGCATTTAACATTCGCTCGAACGGTGTAGGAAAACATCGTGAGGAAACCGACATGTCTTGGATTCAAGAAGTCGACGGCGTGTGTCAGGCACAGAAGGCTGATACCTACGACTACTCTTTACATAGTTAACACATACAAACACTCATATAGTGTAATGTTTTCTCTTCAAATATTTCCGAAATGAAAAGCATATTACATTCAATATAATTTTATTTAGACATTTAAAATCTCGACAACGATAAATACAACACCAATAAGATTTATATATTGACTAGATAAGTTTACAAGCCACACAAACTTAAACAACAAAATATATATATAAATAACATCTAACAATCGTAATATTAGGCGTGAGTACTAAAACCGCTATAGTAATTTTAGTATAAGTATGTTTTTGTGTAAGAAGTCTCAACTCCAAGTCTTCGTCAACCGCTGTCTTCGCCTTATTCTGGGTATCAAAATTTAAAACGAGCAATTAATTAGTCAGTAGATGAAGCGACGCAAGTGGACCTGGATACAGAAGAGATTCCAATTATATCCCCAAGCAGGCGCTTGATTGGAACCCGCAAGGAAATCGGGAGAGTGGCCGTCCCAAGCAAACATGGCGTCATACAGATGAGGCAAAGAGAGCCGGAAAGACTTGGAGCGAGGAGAATTACGAGGCTCAAGACCGAACGCGCACAGTGTTATATTAAGGTTATATTTAGACGAGTTGTCATGTTTTTATCCAAAAGAAATTTTCTTTGACACGATAAATTTTAAGCAAAAATCGAATTTCTATTAAGAGTCTCTTTAAAATGTTCGGTTATAAGCCTTATATAGAACGTTCGAGAATTTGAGAAGTTTTGTAAGAATCAAGAGTCATTCATAAATATATATACTGGCACTACAACCTTTTTAGGTCTAGGCCTCAGATTTCTGTATCTGTTTGATCATACAAAATTTAAATATTTATGAAGACTATATACATAAATTTGTGGTAATGCATTAGTAAATGACAGATTTGGATCGTTTTTTATATGAAATCTGTAAATATTTACGAAAACTCGGTTAATAATAGATATAAATTACAAATTTGTCATACACTGGGATCTTTCCCAAAAGTAAGGTCATGAACCACATGACCCCTCTCGAATGCGATTTTAAATTAAAGGCAAAGTGTATTAATATATTTTCTATCTGTGATTTTGTCCAAAACTCTGGTTAAAGCTGTCTTATTTTTATTTTAAAAATTTATTCAGCAGTTTCAGCATTTTACATTTTAAGGTGGTCAAATACGTAGGTAACTAGGAAATGGTGAGTTCTTTCTGTTATATATATTTTGATAATGATGCAAACATTAAATAATCATTATCTTGTATCATATGCAAATGTGTACCGCAAGCGTGCTGCAAAAATTTGTGTTTGAATAATTAAACGATCAATAATGTGTGAAACAAAATGCCTTTAAAACCTTTTCTATAATTATTTTAATTATATTTTTTTCTTTGGTTTAAAGCCGAGAGAACATTGATTTTGATAGGTATATACTCTATATAAATTTGTAGGCCAAAGTAGGCCATACTAAACATTGAATACAATACTAATGAGATCTAAAGCCATACACAGTTTAGGCCTATTTTGCCTTTCTTGTCAGGAACCAGGTCTGCATCGGCACTGCTTTTCCTTTCATGGAGACATGACCGCGGTATGTCAGTTCGAATTGTTCGTCGTTGTTGTCATCACGCATAAGGTAGCTAGCGGCAAGAAATTAAGGATTTAATTTAAATATAAATTATTACAATATTATAATTATTTCTTATTTTCTAAAAAAAGAAAATATAATAATTATATCTTAACTTAATGTCTTGATATTAATGTTATAATTAAATGAACATGGGGCAAACGGGCAGGAGGCTCATCTGATGATTAGTGATACCGCCTATGGACACTTTCAATCAGTGGCGTAACTATACTATCTGGGGCCCGTGGCAAATTCTTTTGATGGAAAATCGTCACGTTGTACTCAGTTTAATTTTAATAAACTTCAAGATTTTCAGGGTACTCAAATACACGTTATATGTCCAACTAATGGCCACAGGCCTCGTCTCTTAGGCTAGAGGAAATGGTTTGTTGTCCCCACGCTAGCCCAATGCGTATTGGAGACTTCACATTCATCCAGAGAACATAATATCTCTTGGGCAGGGGCCCTCTTGGGGTGGGGGTCCGTGGCATTTTGCCAGCCCTGCCACTCTATTGTTATCCACTGCTTTCAATGAAAGAGGCTTCGCGAGTGCGTTACCTGCCTCGATTATCGAGTATAATGTATTTGATTTTATTATGTAAAAGATTTTTATTAATTTTTTTTTTTTTTTTTTGTTGGTGTTAGAATTAACCCGAAAATTTTTCCTACATTTTGATTTCTACGCAACCACAAAGTCACAGATAATTATGAAATTTCTCAAAAAAGGAGGCAATAATTTGTATTGTTATATATGTCTACGGAAAGTACCAAGGGAAAGAAGGACAAGAGGGCGCCCCAAAAAAAAGGCGAAGGAGTAGAAGCGGTAGCAAAAAGAGAATGGAGAAAGAAAGCCATAGACAGAGATAGTTGAAAAAGCTGGAGGAGGCCTTTACCCGTGAAGGCCTTCCGATCAATGGTACTGAAGGTAGCTAGGATATAGCATATATGAGATGACAAGAAAAAACTGTGTAAAAATATGAAGCTGTATGTTTTTGTACCTAATGATTGGAAATTAAACGGATTTTTATTATTATAATTATAATAGTTCTTTGTGAAAGTCACACGCGATACCAAACTAGAAAAAGGGCTTCTAATCAATAGGATTAAAATGCACATGTATGTTTTCGTTATTCTGGTTTACACGTAGAAAATAGTCGTAGTTCGAACTTGTAAGACTGTGGTGATTCAATTGTTACGAAAAAAGTATCGCGCGAAAGAGGTTTTATCCATTTTGACAGAACAAATTGAGATGGATTCATTCATGGATTTTTATTTCGACGAAGTATTCATAAATCTGGATAGAGACTGTCTAAACGAGCGATACAAGAGACGGGAATTAGTGCAGTATTTTAATTCTGTGATTACCGGTTGTGCCAAAGGTTAAGTTGACAAAATACGAAAATTTAGATATTGTACCTTTGTTTTTCTTTGCGTAAATTTTTATATTAGTATCAATTATCCAAACTTTTTGCATTGAATAAATTTAATCCAGGTACGATTCCCGGTGAAACTATTATCGCTTGTGGTTGGAAGACAAAGGACACGACATATTTAAAAAAAACTAACATAGGCGGCTTTCAAAGGCGGATTCAAAACAGCTGTTTCGTGCTATTTTTTTATAGACATATTTTTTGTAAAGTGATATCCCTCATGATTACTCTCAATGCCAGAAGTCTCGCGAGTGCCGACCTTTTACTACTACTACCGGTCGTATTATTTCGACAAAGTATTACTATTTTCATTTACTACCATTTGGTAATGTTAATTTCTAACTAATTCCAGGACAAAACAAATCCGATAACGCAACATGCAAGAACTTCGTGAATTCAGCCCTTAAGTACCACAATAACTGTAAGTCGGACAATGGCGACGTGTGTCTTATGGGGAAGTACCACAATCTTTTATATATAGCCATGAAGTTGGCTTTTGACTGGAGCTTACAGGATAATGGAGTAGTTGCTTCATTGTTAGATGAGCTGTACGCTTGTGAGCGGACTTTTGAAAGGATATTTTTAGGTAAGTATACATAAATATAGTGGAAATTTAAATATATATAGAAATTGGAGCAGTGTTGGCCTAGTGGCTTCAGCGTGCGACTCTCATGCCTGAGGTTGTAGGTTCGATCCCCGGCTGTGCACCAATTGACTTGTTTTCTATGTGCGCATTTAACATTTGCTCGAACGGTGAAGGAAAACATCGTGAGGAAACCGACATGTCTTAGACCCAATAAGTCGACGGCGTGTGTCAGGCACTGGAGGCTGATCACCTAGTTGTTCATTAGATTTAAAAAAATGATCATGAAACAGATTCAGAAATCTGAAGCCAAGACTTAAAGAGGTTGTAGCGCAACTGACTTATTTTATTTATTTATCTGGCATCTGGCACCAGTAAAAAGTCAAAAATTCTTGGAGGATCCCTACAAAAATTGATATTGTTATCAACCTAATACCAACAAGGCCCGTGCGTTTATTTCATCACACTTAAAGATCGAAATGAATCCATAAAAATACATGCCGAAAGATCCAAATGAATAAGAATAAGTTATCTAGCTAGTAACTTTATTCTTCTTAATTAGTTGGTCGTTCTGTGGCCATATTTGACAGTATTAACCGCCTAATTAATGTATCTCATTAATAAAAAATTGATTTCCAGGTGCAATCTTTGGTACATCAGCACCTTACTTCTTAGCCGGATGGAAGTCGGACTTCGTAGACCGACAGGAAAACGTTCACGCCCTAGTCTTCTTTTTAGACCACGCAACGAACGCAAATTTAGAATTCAAAGACGAAGAGAAGACTTATCGCTTTATAGACGTTCCTCTGGAGAGCTGTGGCAAAGCTTCACCAGTACGAGTGGTTATACAGATGGGAGCAGCTGAAATTCTGATGATCCTACTCCGATTTGGAGCTAGAATAACCGCGGACCACGTATCGAGTAACCCCATAGAGACAATCCTGGACCGGCTTCAGGAATATAACGGACAGTATCCCAACGAGCTGGTCACTTGTTTGAAGCTGACTTTGAGGGCCGTTCCACATTTGAATTTGACAGTTGACAAGAGCGCTTTAAAGCACCTAGAGTTGCCAGAAGATTATAATTATCAACGAAGAATTGTATTGGAAAAGTACGGGGAGATTTTAAAGGATCATTTAGTGCCAAGTTCTCGGTGTGGATTGCAACCAGTTGAGTTGAAGCACTTATGTCGTTGTCAAATTAGACATGTTTTGTGGGGGAATTTCGAGTTGCCATTTGGGATACAAAATTTGCCGATACCGATGTCTTTGAAGAAGTACTTGGATTTGTGTGAAGATTGAGTTTTTTTTTATTGTTTCAATATAAATATTAAATAAACTTTTATGGAAACAGAATCTTTAATTAAAAAAAAACGTGGTTACTTTTATTATGACGTATTAAAACTTAGCTCCTTAGCTAGTATTAATATTCTACAATGAAAAATAAAATAGGTTACGTAAATTTTAAATGCCTTCTGAGATAGGTAGAGCCATCTTTTATAAATTTTGCAGACAAGAGCCCCCGTGAAATTAATAATGAGACAAAATATCTATTGAGAAATACCTTTTGATGATCACTTGATGATGAGTCTTACGATTCTTTTTTAAGTACATATAAAATACAGATGTATAATTATGTACTATACATATAACCTAACTTTAGTTAAGGTACATATATATTTTAGTAAACAATTAGAAGCGTAAACAAAATTTAAACAATCATCGCACACTTGAAGCCAAAATGAGGGCTTTAGTTTTTACCACACTCATAAATTGTAATATAACATTCCACTCAGATTTACGAACTCTTCAGTAAGTCAATTTAGTTTTTTGTTAATCCATCGTTGCAACCCCACTACCCCTAATGTTATCTTATTTATTGTAAAAAAGTAGTAACTAAATATCTCAAATCGCTAGATTACCAAAGCATAGAAAATCTAATACGACCCCTAATTTAATTTAATGGACCGTTTTTCTCGCCCACACTAGTCTCAATTTAGCTCACTCGCACACACACACACACACACTCACAAATGCTTTAACTTTTTTCTATTTTTTTTTTTATATATTTTTATAAATTATTTATTGTTCGTTCGTTTTTAAAACTTGTATTAGCAATACTTTTTGCCACTATGTTCAAGAGGGACTGGTGACTTGTAATAACAGGTTTTCCCAACCTTTTTCAAGCACCAGTTTCTCAGTATAATACATAGCTTTATGCTTATTGTCAAGTTTATTATTAATTATTAATAAAGTTTATTTATAAGCTCATTATTCCAGTTGTTACCCAGCTTCAAATAAAGTGTTTTATTTAATATATGAACATATCCATACAAGAACCGCCACCGAACTTAACTCATGCCCTGATGAATTTTGAAACTGAGCTAGTTTAAAATAATTTTCTAAAAATGTACATAAAATAAAATAAAACGTTAGAATAAAAACCTCCGCAAAATCTAATACCTGTGCGTATCCTCGCTGACATTAATAGTCCCCGGAACGCCAGTGGTCTCGCATCTGCTCGTCAGGTTGACAGTGTTCCCGAAGAGACAGTACCGCGGCATACGATGGCCGATCACTCCCGTCACCACTTCGCCGGAGTGGATCCCGATTGTTATTCCCTAAGTCATTTCAAGTAGGTTTTTAAGGCTATACATAAAGTAAGTCTAGGCTCAGGCAAGTCTTTCATTTTTTCTGTTAAATTGTGATTATACAAATCAATCATGTGTCTCCATTAATGTCCCAAGCGAAACAATTATCACTAAATAAATTCAAAGCCCTCGTTACACGTAAATTAATCAATAAAGCTTTTTATCAATTTCACGAATATTTAAATGATCCTAATCCTTGGGATTGATTTGCTCCAGTTCAAACAACATACAAATTGTTATTGGAAGGACTCAAAACTTCGCGATTAAAAAGAGTGGCGGAAAGTTTCTTGCGAACTGGTAGTAAATATAAATTTAGAATTCATTTAACTTTTTGATATTCATAAGTGTACTTGTTTACCTATATGAAAAAAGTTATTTTGAGTTTGAGTTTGAGAATGGACATCAAGGGGATACATGATTTCTTTAGTTAAAACCGTGAAATTAATTTATTAAAAGCGGTGTACTAAAAGTTAACTTAAAAAACTTAACAAGCCGGGTGATTAACTTAACATATGTATATAGGAGAATTAATTGTGAGTCTTAGATGGCCTTAGACCAACAAAATGACTCTTATCAAATATTAAATTTTAATTTTAAATTAAGTTTATGGGTATAGCAAAGCAAGATTTTGATACAGTCACTATATCAAGAAACGATTTGTTTAATCTTACCACAGGTTCTCCATCAACAGTGACTGTTTTGGACAAATCCATCATCTCCAGAGCGAGGAGGCAGATGTGCTTGGCGTGGCCTTCTTTGTATTCTGGCAGACCAGATACCGCCATGTACTTGTCACCTACTGTTTCCACCTGGAACATTATAAACCGTATGAATCACGTTGTTTATGACAAATTCTGCTTGAAACACATCAATCTATGAAATGTAATTTGAGTATTGGCCGAATTTTAAGGACAGTTCTATAATTTTTTTATGTAACTTGGGTCAGGAGGCTTACTTGATGATAAGTGATACCGCTGCCCATAGAAACTCATTGCTAGAAGGCTCACAAGTGCGTTGTCGGCCTTTTAAGACTTGGTACTCTTTTTTCTTGAAGGACCCTAAGTCGAATTGGATCGAAAGTACTTCAGTGGGCAGCTGGTTCCACATAGTGGTGGTGCGCAAAAACTGATGGTATTTTGTATTCTGCCTTGACGTCAATGCAAAATACAAATATATTTTGCCTTTTAGACTGCAGGTCGCCATTACCTAATACCATTCTAACTTTAACATAAAGATAAACATTTTGTGTATCATCATGTTTCCTTATCAGTAGTCAACGCTCGCTTGTCATTAGCCAATTTTTTATTATTATATGCGAATGAAACGACCGCTTTTATTCGTTTCTTTAAAACAAAGGTCAGTTGTGGAACGCTCAGTTGTTGACGGACGTCGAGGTGATAGGGGTGGAATTTCGTATTCTGCCTCGACGTCCGATGATAAAACTCAGCTGCAGGAATTAAAAACGCATACGACAAACTAGGATTAGTTCGAATTAAATACCATAGATGGCGCAATTCCCCAAATACCTTATAAACGTCGGGATTCCTCTTGGGATCGGTGAGCACGTCGAAGGCCGTGTAGAGATCGTTGAGCATTTTGACAATCTTCATGGCGCCCTTGTGGTCGATGTTCCTGGCGCAGTAGTTGGCGAATCCGACGATACCGCTGAACAGAAGAGTCACGGGGTCGTATCTCCGCGCTGGCACTGGACGCCGGTGACGTAGTTCCGTCGCCACGCTCATGGGTAATACCGAGTATAGAAGTCTGCAGATAACAAAGGACAAAGGAGAATAATAATTTAGTGGCGATACAACCCTGACCACTCTTAGACTCATCTATCTCTTCTTAAATAACTTGGCGATTAAAAAGAGTGGCAGAGTTTATTGCTGGTCTTTATCCTCCGTGTTAGGCCCTTGATTAGACTGGCAATAAATGAATTTTTTTTAATCAATGAAAAAAATTATTTTAACTTTTAGTTTGTGGATACGATCTATAAAGCTGTATGGTTAAACATAATATAATATCAAAATCGTTTAAATGCATATAAAAATAACAATAGGTAAAAAGAGAAGATTTAATATGGTCGCTTGATATGTTGCAAGCATTAAATGTCTATTTTATATATAAATGACAAATTATTTATACTTATTACAAGCACTGTACAATCCACAGTTCTTTAACTACGATACGATAAATATTTAATAAAATTCATATAATTTTTAATGGTTTATCGATTTGATTTCTTGACAAGGGTAAAATACTGTTTAATAAATTATTTTTAAAAAATCAGTGGCGCTACAACCTTTTTAGGTCTGGGCCTCAGATTTCTGTATCTATTTCATGATCATTTGTTAATCTAATAGGCAAGTAGGTGATCAGCCTTCTGTGCCTGATGCAAGCCGTCGATGTTTTGGGTCTAAGACATATCGGATTCCTCACGATGTTTTCCTTCACCGTTTGAGCGAATGTTAAATGCGCACATTGAAAGAAAGTCCATTGGTGCACAGCCAGGGATCGAACCTACGACCTCAGGGATGAGAGTCGCACGCCGAAGCCACTAGGCCAACACTGCTCTAATAGATTATTACCTATCAGTCTTCTGCTTCTCAGCCTCCAGTTCCCTATAAGTGTGCTGAAGTTTGTCCGTGAGAACCTCCAAATTCTGAGTGAGCTTGTAGTCAGCCTCGAACTGCTCGGACATCAGCACCAAGTCTCTTGTGGCGTCGTGCAGAGGTATGTCGGAGATGCAGAGGCCGCGACTGGAATTTTATTTTATATTATAATTTTTTGAAGATGAAGATCCTGAAGATCCTTGAAGGAAGGCTTCACCTGCGGAGCGGTTCTTACAAATTAGAAAATAGATAATAAATAGTACAGATAAAAATGAGTGTTATTTAATTTCCTTTAAAAATTATAATAGGATTAAGTTTACTTTGACTTTGCGAGAGTAAAAAGGCTTTTTTTATTTTATTTATTATTATTTGTATGATATATTGAATGGGATAACGTTTTAAATATAAAGTTTGGGGTCCTTACAAAAATAATTTGTATCAATTGGCAAATCAGTTACAATCATATTCAAACCACGTGAAAAATATAAAACCCGTATTCTGGGAAATAAGTAACGGTTTTTAGAGTTAAGTTTTACTCTATATTAACCACTCAACAACAGAATATATGCGAAATAATTAAATGAAATAAAGGGAGTCCTTACGTCTGGGGGCGAAACTCCGGCGATTTAATCGCCACGCTTACTAAACAAAGAAAGAGTGAGCAAAATGTACGGCCTTGGCTCGTAAATAAAGCGTCAATTCAATTACCGTGTCAGATCATCAAGATTGGTGACACTGGGGTAGCATTGGAAGACAACCACGTTAGTTTCAGGGATGTATAACATTTGGCCCTGGAAAATAGAAAGGAAAAATTTTGTATCTGTGGTCTGATGAAGATAACTACGCAAGGGGCAATGGGGCAACTTAAGTCGATTTAAAAATAATGTGTTTAGTAAGTTTTTCTATTTCCTGCTAATACAATACCAATATTACCAGGATTGTTTCATTATTACTTTAAATTCTAAGAACAGACGTTTTGCATTCCCAACGCCAAAACGAAGGACTGTGTTTGGACAACGCTCCTTTGCATTTAGGGGCCCCTTCCTTTATAACAAAATTTCCAAATCTATGGATCCTGAGATCGTAAAATTATCCAGATATAAATTAGCAAGTCACATAGAAACTACACTAGCCAAATTGGATTTCGAATCTACAGAGGCATTACTACATATCTTGGTATGACTTTGAGGTTTCATAAACAAACACAGACACAGTGCACGATCATAACAACTTTCAGCTACATTCTCAAATACATGCGCACACTCACTCATTCACTTCATTTGTAACACGAAATTTATAACTATTATTAGTATTTTTTCTTTTTTATTATCATCTTTTTTTTTAACTAATTTTAACCACGAAATAATTGTTTTCTAGTTACCCACAACACAGGGCCTCCCTAGTGTGGGGACTAGCGATTTATGATTTCTGTCACAAACCCTTCTGTCATTAATAAAGTTTTTATTATTATAATTATTAAGCATATTGTATATCTAAGTGCGGAAATGAAATACTGTTGTAATGTTGCACTAGAATTTATCATAGCTTTCTGTTCAGTAATATTTTCTAACACATAGTAAATAAATTAACAAGACAATCAATTTTCATAATTTAGATTTTTCATATTTTCTATAAAAAGTACCTTCAATCGCAAAGAAGCGATGTCCTCATGATGATCACTGACGCTCATTTCCTCCGGCTTCGTCTTCAGAACATACACCGTGTTGATGTGAGCCAACACATTAGCGAATGTCATCTCAAGGTGAGGTCGTACCTGAAACGGAAAAGCTTTTTAATTTTAACTCCTGTTTTATTCTAGAAAACCAATAGAAGATGATCAAAAAATCCACCGGTGTTTTGGTTTAAAAACTTTTATCACTAAAGAGAGAAAGTAGTTTAGTAATAAAATTAAAACGTTTAACCTAACACATAGACACTAAATTAATTAAAAACTGATGACTTGAACTCCGAGGTTAATATAGAGAAAACTTCACAGAAAACCCTAAAAAGTTTCATTCCGGAAAACCGAATAGTCTCCGGGGTAGCATAGAAAAATGTTCCATGTTGGTATGTACTAAAAAGTAGGCTAAGTAAAATCACATTAAAGAGAAACGTCGTTCGCGGGGGCAGCTAGTATTATATATATATATATAGCTGATCCGGCAAACGTCGTTTTGCCATGTATATCATTTATAATAAAAAAAGGGGTTGATCGTGGTCGGGTGAAAATTAGGGGTTGTATGTATTTTTTAATGCTGTATCATAACAAAATTAAAAATTAAAAAATTATCTAAAAATTAAAAAATAATAATTTAGGGATGGACTACCCTTAACATTTAGGGGGATGAAAAATAGATGTTGTCCGATTCTCAGACATACCCAATATTCACACAAAATCTCATGAGAATCGGTCTAGCCGTTTCGGAGGAGTTTAACTACAAACACCACGACATGAGAATTTTATATATATTAGATTATATTAAACACAAAAAAATTGTCTTTATCTTCTCAGTGTGTTAAGGTATGAAACCCAAACATCAATAATAGAAAATTATTTGATTTAAAAATTACCGTCTCCAAAACATCGGTGATCTTGCAACCGGGCTTATTAAGTCTCGGCAAAAGTCGAGTGACGGAGCGACCGGCTTGTACTATGTTCAGCTCCCGATCAAACATCAGGTGGAATGGAAACACGCGGCAAAAAGTCGCTGGACTGACTTTTGGCTCTGGAATTGATATTTTGTTTTAAAAGGTTTAAAGTTCTTTACGGCTTCTTGGAATGAAACAAGAACAAAAACGCCTCGCCCGAAATCATCAGTCAATCAGATGTTCGCACGTCTCTCTCAAAACATTACTCTGATTGGCTCATGTAATAACAACAACAGTGGCGCTACAACCTTTAAGGTTTCAGATTTTTATGTATCGGTTTCATGTTTTTTTTTTGACGTTCATAAGTGTACATTGTGTTACCTATATGAATAAATGATTTTGACTTTTGACATGTTCATTTTTTAATAGGCAAGTAGGTGATCAGTCCTCTGTCCACACACGTCGACTTTTTGAGTTTAAGACATGCCGGTTTCATTACGATGTTTTCCTTCACCGTTCAAGCGAGTGTTAATCCGCACATAGACAGAAAGTCCATTGGTGCACAGCCGGGGATCGAACCATAACCTCATAAATTAAGGTCGCACGCTGAAGTCACTAGGCCAACACTGCTCTGATTGGGAAGCATGGGGCATTGTTCATATTACTTTTTTTTACTAGATTATTGTACTCACCATTTGTATTTTGTATTCGCTAAATAATATTAGACTATATTTTCTATTAGGCAATTTTTCTTTACTTAATTTTCAACGATATTTTAAATTTTATGTAAATAAAACCTTTAGACAAAGTCCGGATCTCTGTCATCTCGGGCGCAGTTCCTCGTCCAGTAGAAGTCTCAGTGATGAGGTACTGGACATGGTCGCACTCCTCTTTCGTCTTCAGTATTTCTACCTGCACTTCTGTGTTATGCAGCTTGCTTGTTACTGTCTGAAAATGTCAGAGATTCTACAGGTCTGAAATGTTATCGTGTTTATTGCTAATTCAAAATCAAAACACTATAAGGTAACTTTTGTATAAATGTGAATTTAAAAAAGAGTCTGAAATTTATTTTTATTTATACTTGTTCCATTAATATAGAATTATATAATGGCATGGAAGTAACGACGTTCAGGAGTGAAGCATAGAATGTGTACTATAATATGATGTAGTGTAAATTTCCATTTTTTAGATACAAAATGTTACAGGCGCAATATTTTATATCACGTAAAAGTATTGTTTTCTGGAATACAATTCGTGTTCTTGTGTTTTTATCACGGTTCCGTGATATTCATAAAACTGTGTAAAAGTATTTTATGCATTTGAATACCGTTTGTTTATTAATAATATATCATTTATTTACAAACTAAGCCAAATAAAAATAGGCATGTAAAAGTCATATTAATAATGATAATAATAAGAACAGTTAAGTTATATATAGTTGTTGTAAACTTATGATTTATATACACTATAATGGCACCTTGGCTTTTAAAATTTAATCACCTTCCCCTTAAAAGCGTTATACGGCAGTGATATATAACTTCTAGGAAGTCGTCTAATGCTATCTGTTTTCTAATGTATCTTAGGTGGCTAATATTAATTGTATCTTGGTGATTATATGTTCTATCTTGTTCTGGATGTAAAAATATAATAGATGCTGTTCAGACGTAAAAGCTTACCTTAACAATACCAATCACGATGTGCTCGAGTCCTGGCCTGTCGGAATAGTAATGAAGGACCAAAGCGCCATCTTCCGGCCGCTCCGTACAACGGAAGGACGGCGCGCGCATACCCGGGTATAGTGTACCCAAGTGGTCATGCAGACCGTCTAGATTCTAATAAATAAAATTGTAAGCTTATTCTTTAAAAATAAATCAGCCTAACTGCACTGTTTTGGTTGCAGTAATCATCTCTCTTTTCTTTACAGCATAAATACAATTTAACAGAAAGAGACAAAACAGTACTTTAGTCAAAAGAGTACAATTAGACTTAAATAAAGAGGTTATTCTTTATCACAATGAATTAACTTTTAGAAGAATAAGAATAATTTACATAACTTTTATAATAAGTGAAAAATTACAAGACTTAGGCTTATTCTAAATAATTTGTCTTAGGCCTCAATTTAGTATTAAGGACTGTCAAAACTGGACTAATTCATAGAGAAAAATGTAAGTAGATGTTGATTCCTTTGAAGATGGGATGGGCTTTGGTATGATGCTACTTGTATGGACACGTTTGCCCCGTCTCCCTCGGACAAGCACAAAAGCTGGGGCGGCAGAGCAGGCGGAAAATAATAAATGGCTCAAATATAAAGTCTTTCCTTCAACTTTGATTTTGATCCCTTTGGAGTAGAGATGTCGTGACTCGTGGGGTTCAAGTGCACAGGCTCTAATTAAAGATTTAAGTTGGCGCCTGGTACCGGTGACCCCAGAGCTAGTGCTTTCCTCGCTCAACGAATAAGTACGGCAATAGCGAGGAAATGCTGCCTGTTAATGGTACACTGCCACTGGGACCAAACTTTTTAAATTTGTTTCTTTTAATTAATTTTTATTATGTAATTGTAATTACATACTGCATATTTGATTGTTTAGGTGATAAGATACGATTTGGCCAAGGATGAAGATGGTTGACAAGATATTGGATTTGGCTGGTTAGGGGGCCTCCCAGAGACGACTGAAGATTAGTATTTCAATCATTTTATGGGTTTCAAACAAACCATACTACTTTAATAGCACACATGGCAAATGGGTAGGCCATCCATGTTTACAAATACTACCAGAAGGGTCGCGATTGCGTAGCCGGCCTTTTAAAAATTGGTCCGCTCTTACACGACTCTAAGCCGAATAGGAAATACTTCAGTTAGCACCTGGTTCCACAAAGTGGTGGTGCACGAAAAAAAAATACCTTAAAAACGCTGAGTAATGGAACCATCTAGAATACACCTATTTAGTATGGACTCAGTTTCCGCACTTCGACGACTGTTGTGCGTAAAGTCCTGGCTAACTAAGCCAGTCTAGCACCTTCCAGAAGCTTCCTGGGCACTTCGCAAGCCTAACGAAGCGAATACTAACAAATAATATACATATATATTATATGTTACCTGTAAGAAATCGCGAGGTGTAGCTCCAAGGACTTGAAGAATCTTGTCATAGCCAGAATCTTGACAGAACTCGAAGAATGTCATACCGAATAGCTCTAGTATTTCATTCGCTGGTGTCTCTGTAAATAATAATTATTGTATTGTTTCATGTATCCACAGAACTAAAATATAAATGTAACTAATCATATTCTATATTTGAATAGTCTGTACTCTTTGCAGTTTTTTTTTATATAATAGGGGGGCAAACGAGCTTGCGGGACGACCAAAAAGGGCAGTCTGCGCAGCCCATAGACACCCACTTTTAGTGGGTGCGTTGCCGGCCTTTGAGGGAGGAGTAGACTCGCTTTTTAAACATTTGGAGGTCGTATCTCTGAGGGAAGACCCCCCCGGGAGCCGATTCCACAGTTCGCTAGTTCGCAAAAGAAAATGCCTTGTGAAACGGACTGTGGAAGACCTCCAACCATCAAGATGATGGCTCGTACGGTGTTGAAAGGAGGCAGGAGGGATCAACCCAAACAATTCTTCCGAACACTCTCCGTAATAAACTTTGTAAAAAACGCAAAGAGACGCAATGTCTCTGCGTAGCGAGAGAGATCAAGCCGATCAGTAAGACATTGGAGATTGACAATTCGACAAGCCCTTCGCTGAATTTGGTCAAAAGGAAGAAGCTGGTATTTGGGAGCACCGGCCCAGAGATGCGAGCAGTATTCCATATGAGGTCGTAGTTGAGCTTTGTAAAGCTGCATACGTTGCAGTTTTTTATTGCAGTTGCAGTTTTGTATTTTCCTGCAATTGTGATGTATAGGCAATGTTATTGTGCTATTGTTGATTTTAAGTAATTAGGTGTTTTATATTTTTTTATATATACAAAGAATGTGTGGGTGTGTGAGTGTAAACTCAAGGTGAGTAGAAACTTAGGGTAAGATTCAGAGACTTTACTAGCAACAGTCTAAAAAAATATATTGGAATTTTACATCTCCCTTAGATCTTTATGTCATTATCTGCTGTAACGATGGTATCGTATTACTTTATCTGTTGTTGACAAATCATCGCAACCATAGTAACGGTTCATATCCAGTCCATGTTTTATGATAAAAATAATCTTACGCAATACTTCAACGGCAGCTGTTATGAGGTTGTATGTGATTTCATCATCATAAATCTGCCGAACAAGGAATGAGCCTTCCATTGCCACCTCAGCCTTTTTCCTGAAAATTACGAATAGAAGTTAGATAAACATTGTTTGAAAAGTAGGAAGTACTTTATATTTAAGGCAATAATCCGCGTGTTTAATCAAAACCAATTTCAATTCAAGTAAAATGATTAAATATTAATCTTATTTTAAAAAGTCTGACCTATATAAAATTAAAAATTAAACTGTAAAATTATTATGAATATACTAAAACCACTCAAATTTCTTAAGAATGTCAACGTCTCAACGAATACAATTATAAAAGCTATTATAGTTTTAAAAAATCTGAATAAACTTCTTACTTGATTTTCTCCCATATTTCCACTCCATAAGCTTTCATCACCAATAACTCCAACGCATAGTTAACAAACCCGTACTGGAAAAAAGAATGTTATAAAAATCTAGCATTAGGTACCAAAAAAAGAATTTAAAAAATGCCATCTTACCATTTCGCGGGTTTAAAGGTACTGAAACAAAGAAAATGATATTAGCGCCATCTGTTTGTTACGTTTTAAACTTTAATCAGCAAGTGTGAACTGTAAAGTTTACTTGAGATGTTAATAGAGGGCAATTCAAAAAATAATTATTTTACGTGTTACTCAAATTAATTATATTTGCGATTCTAAGCATTATAATTAGTTATGTTTCTTGTATAACCACGTAATATTACCAAAACATGATTGATTAATTGATTTAGAATAATAACAACGGGTCCAAATATGTTTCACGATATAGAAACTATTCAGAGACCTTTAAAACATTTTGTAAGAAAACCAAAATATAACCAACCTTATACAAAGTCGTTAGTATTACTTTAAAAACAAAAACTAATCGTTATTGTCACAATCTTTTGCATTTGTTGTGACGAACGGTGCATTGTTTTAAACAAAAGAACTATTAAAGCATATTACGTTACTTACCCCGGCCTAAGTCACTTAATTATGTGCGAAAACACTTTAAATTCACCATAAACAGCTTTATGAAGCCATATAGATGGTTTATTCGTAATATTTTGTTTGTTTAGGCCGACACGGAACTGACATCAACCGATCGCGCCAAGAGTTTGGCGAGAACTGGCTTGTGATTGGCGCATTACTGCACAGACTCGATAAAGAAAACAAATATTAAACCATTTCAATATATTAAAGTGTTAAAAAATTATTTCTAAGATAATTAAACACAATTATAGATGAAGATGATGCTAATGAATTGTTATTGTTTTAATAATATTGTTGTCAATTGTCAAATTTTAATTTTCAACGTGTGTTCTAGATGGCAGCACCTATGCAATACAAGATAGAATATACTTTTATGACATTCAAAATATAATATATGGTGTATATGTTATGAATAGGTAATGTTATAAAACATTAGGTTTTTTGTTGAACACCGTTTATTCTCAAAATCTAAAATAACTGTTTTAACTAAGCGTGGTAGGTATAAAAATATTAAGTTATTAAATTAGTATGCTATAATATAGTCTTTGAAGCATTCGTTAAGAAGCCTAGTGCTTAAGAATTCTATCTTCAGCGAGTGCCTTTCAACTCTGAATGTGTATGTTTAATGAATAGATTTTAAAGAAACTGATTAACAAAACATGTACACAATGTGAGGACGTAGCGGACTATAGAATTAAAGTGATATTTTTTGTGTATTTGCTGTCGTACAAAATTGTATCTAATAAAATGAACGGAAACCACATTACCTCTTCCATTACGTAAGTCAGTTAGGGGCAGGTGAACGCGAAATGATTAATGAACTTTGTACGCATGCCTTGTAATAAATTTAATTATTCCGCCCGTTTTAAATCCTACTTTAATAAATTCTTGGGGACATTGATGATGAGTTACGAAATTTTAAATCTATCTTCAAATAACAGTCAATTAAATTTAATTATTATAAAAAGCCTATTTGTATTAATTATTCTTTAGTTGATGATAAATGAGTTTGTGTATTGCATGATATATATTCAAAGTAATATTTTCTAAAGGATATGCAGAATCGGACTGTCTAGAATAAAAAAGAGAATCCCAGAAAGAACTATAGAACAATAGAATCTAGAGTCAGGTAACACAGTCTTTTGTTCGAGATCGTTTTTATTTAACATAAATACCACTGAAGTATTTCCGAATCAATTCGACTTAGACCTTCAAGAAAAGAGCGTACCAATTCTCAAAAAGCCCGGCAGAGCGCTTGCGAGCCTTCTGGCAGACTGAGTGTCTATGTGTGCCTATTAAATGAGCGTCCTGCCCGTTTGCCTCCTGTAACATAATAAAATTCTCCATCTCTTAAATTTAATGCTTTTCTTTATTGTTAAAGTATCTTCTATGAAAATTGTTTATGGTTCGGCTGACATATTACAAAAACTTACAATAGTTTTGTGTGTAGAAGTAGTATACTTAATGCAATGCCATCGCAAGGCCATTAGTTACGTTCAAACAAATATTCATTAATTTCGGCTTAATAAAAATAGCAAAAAAAATCCCATACAAGACATAGGATATATAGGATTTCATAGTACATCGAAAAAATATATGTTACATTACATTTTTACACAAAACAAAAGCAAGTCGCATTTCATTTTGTGTCAATTTTATTTTGGTTAAATTAATATTGTAGGTATGACAAATTATCGTAGAGTACCTTAGTATAATAACTGAGTTACTGGGCCTTAGATTTCTGTAGCCCTATATCTCTTTAATTATTATTTTTATAGAGTCATGTAGGTAATAATTTCTTTCAGCGATTTCGCTCCCTCAAAGCTTAATGTCAAAAGTTATAACAGTGGCTCCTACCAGTGATGACTAACGACTCTGAGACTTGACTCTCTTACTTCAACCAGTGTACCCCACTGGTACGTGGTAGCTCCGCATCGCTCAACGCGCTATGAACAGGGCTATGATCGGTGTTTCTCGATGCGATCGAATTCGATGAAGAGATCCGTAAAAGAGCTAATGTCACTGATGTAGCAAAAAGGGCGTGTAAGCTTAATGGGCGGGGCACATTGCTGAAGAACGAATGGGGCAAAATTTCCTGGGATTAAAGCCAAAACCAGGCGGCGAAGCGCTGGACTCCAACTTGGTGGACTGATGACCTGGTGAGGGTGAAGACGTAGAATGCCATGCCGGTCGTACTGTAAATGTCCAGCAGTGGACGTCAACAGGCTGAAACGAGACAAGAACCAGTAGGAGATCGGATTTTTTTTTACTATAAGGGGCTTCTAGTTCATTAACTTCAAGTAACAAGATTCTCCTTTCATATCTAAACCCAGACAATTACCAACCTATATCAGCTGTCAAATGCCTCATAAATTTGTTTATTCGTTAATCTCGTAGATTACTACTGTTAAATCTACACACCCACCAAATTGCCTTTTCCCCTGTATCACTCCATTTATGTAATTAGCTCAGTTACATAGGGTTGGCACTTTGTAATTATAAATATGTATTCATAATTTAATAACGTGAAAGCGTATCGTGGAAAATAGTTCATTATTTGGGTTATATTTGTTATTTTCTTCTTGCCGCACACATTATTTTTAACTAGCTATCCTCAAAAGCTTCTCCGAACCAAATTGACTTTTTTTATAGAACAAGTGGAAGCGGGCAGGAGGCTCATCTGATGTTAAGTGATACCGCCGCCTATGGACACTCTCAATGATCGAGTGTCAATGGGAATCATATCATTTAACACCAGGTGCGCCTAATGCCCGTTTGCCCCATGTTCTATAAAAAATGAAGAATAGGGGTCTTTATTTTGGTGAGAATCAACAATATATTTAGTTGACATATTTCGTATAACTTGCAAACAACGTTCATTAATCGCATGGAATGTTGACGATGCGATTCTGAGGTCCAAAGACACACTCGATCAAAGACTGATTAGATTAGGGTCCACATGTGGTACAATAATACTGTTAACAAGAAAGCTTACCTAGCTTTGATATGCCACATTGTATCCGTAACTTAAAGGCGAAGTTTGCAAAACCTAACTGCAAAGAGTTCCTTTTTATGTATATGTAACTAACTTCTATCTAATTAGGATTCTAAAAAGGGGCTATACTTGGAATACATTATATTTATCTTTAAACTCAGTTCAATGAAAACCGTATTGGGAACCGACAGGAGAGAAGAATAGATAAAATAAAGAATACATCATTTAGAAGAATAACTAAGGTAGCTGATGTTAACTAAGGTGCAATGAAAATAATTAAACTTAAGTGGAAATGGGTGATAATTGTATTAACAACAACAGAGAAAGAAAATTTAGAAGGTGAATAGACCAGATTAAGCAAACAGCAATGCAGACAGAAATGGCGTACCTATTTGGAGAAGCCTTTCCCAAAAAGATACACAGATACCTAGGAATGAATGGGATGATAAAAATATAAATGTATTTAAAAGTGAAGTGAAATAAAAGGCTTTATTATTATTATTATAAATGAAAACCGCTAAGCCAGACCGCGAATTATCTAGTTGCGTAAACAAATAAAATGCTAATAAGAACTCGAAACGACTATATTCTTGTTGACAACCCTAAATGTCACTCCCATCATATCGTAGTATGGAAATCTGTAATTTTGGGTCGCATGTAAAAAGCTCAAGGACGCGTTTGTATAGCATTTATTTTCTATTAAGGTTTTCGTAGAAAAGGCGATACTAAAAACCTTGTTAGTAACTGTATAACGCACGAGAATGTAAATAAAATGTTACCAGTAGATTTTAAAGCTAGTCGGTTGCGTTAACGAAATAATTGTATGTAACATTCCTTCCTATTTTTAAGTGATTAAAAGAAATGAATGCGTAAATCAAACTTTTAGAAACCGTCTTTAAACCTTGAGTCTATTGAATTATGACCACTTTATTTAAGCAGTAGTGTAGTATGTACATTGTACTACAGCCAAAAGTAATCTATATTTTATTTTTTGTCCGTTGGAAGATGAGACGGATTTTAGCCGCAGAGCAGGCGGAAAATAAGAAACGGCTCAAATATAAAAGTCTTTCCTTCCACTTCGATTTTGTTCCCTTTGAAGTAGAGACTCTTGGGCCGTAGGGTTCAAGTGCACAGGCGCTAATTAAATATTTAAGTTGGCGCCCGGTAGATAGTACTGGTGACCCCAGAGCTGGTGTTTTCCTCGCTCATCGCAATACAGTAAGAAAATGCTGCCAGCTGTAAAGACACTGCGACAGGGACTAAACTTTTAAAATTTATTTTAATTTTATATTTTTCAATTATTAATTATTCCTATTATTACTATGTAGGTTAAGAAAATTTTAGAAACTGTATATTTGAATATGTTTAAGTTTTAATAAACGATTTCCAAGTTGAATTTATCTTTTTAAAATATCGGTAGAATAGTATATTTTATTCTGTTTTTAATGTGGTTTGTTGAGCAGTGTTGGCTTCAGCGTGCGGCGCTCATCCCAGAGGTCGTAGGTTCGATCCCCGG